TTGTATGTTCATAATATTCGTACTATTATTGGATTTGGAAATCTAGGGTTTTCACCCCTTTTGCAATTTGTTTTATAATTTTGCGTTTTCTTGTCTTAGGTAGAAATGTATGAAAATTTGTGTTCAAAAATTCATCATAGTGGTGAGTTTGTGGACTCTGAAAAAAATGTGTATGTGGGGGGAAAATGCTATGATTTAAAAGTAGATGTGGATAGGTGGAGTTACTTTGAATTGGTTAGTATACTGAAAGATCTAGGTTATACTGAGGTAGATACCATCTATTATAATAACCCACTTTTGGGATGATTGTTCTTAATGATGACAAAGGTGCGTTAGAGGTTGCTGACCTTTGTAGGGTACACTTGACAGTTGATATTTACATAGAACATCATATGTCCCAACCAGAATATGTTGATAGTCCTGTAGAAGAACCTATACGTATGTTAAACCCGGAGGTAGAAGCCATACTTGCAGATATTTGAGCAAAGATGTTGTTGAGGGTGTGAATGCAGGTCCTAAGGATTTGAACAATGATAGTGCAATGCATGATGGTATAAATACTAATGTTGGTTCTATGAGTGTTGTTACAAGCTCTGATGACACTAAGGATGGGACTTACAATCATGATAATTCTTTGGATGTTGCATTTAGTGATTCTGATATGAGTGAGGATTATGTTGAAGAACATTTAGACAACCTACTTGAATATGATGGAAACCATGAAGGAACTAGTAAAAAAGAAGAAAAATAAATGGGAAGGAGACAATGTAGATGATAATGGAAGTGCATATGATAGCGAGGAGTTAAAAAGTGGTTGTGAAATTAAGGGGAGTGATGCACTAAGAAAAAAGAAGTATTCCATGTTCAAGTTAATTAAAGATATGTCTAATTATAAATGGGAGTTGAGAATGTATTTTAGTTCAAAAAGTGACTTTAAGGAAGCAATTCAAACCCATGTTGTCCAATCTGGAAGATATCTAAAGTTTTAAAAAAAATGACAAACAAAGAGTGAGAGTGGGGTGTAAGGAAAGCTGCCAGTGGTATGCATATTGTGGAAAGTTGCCTAATTAAGAGACTTGATAACTTAGGAAAATAGTTGATATTCACAATTGCTCTAGAGAATACAATGTGAAGATGATATTTAACTATCAAATTAAGTATCACACCTATCCAAGAAAGTGTTGGGGATACAAGGCCCTTATTTCAAGAGGTTATATATTCATTTCAAGGTTTAATATATTCATTTTAAGAGGTTATTTCAAGAAAATGTTGATGATCTAGGAGGTAGGGATGAAATTCGAACCTATACACTCATTTCTAATATGTAAAAGGTACCAACCTATTTTTTTCATATTCAGTTAAAGTATGTAGTCCCTAGTTAATGTATTTAGTCACTATTGTTTGGTTTAATTTTGCAGGGTCTTCTTCCTGCAATGGATGAATTACTACCCAATGTTGAACAAAGATTTTGTGTAAGACATTTATATAACAATTTTAGGAAGAAGTTTCCTGAAAAAACATTGAAGGAGATCAATTTTTGGAAGGTTGTCAGGGCTACTTATCCACAAGCATGGGGAATGTATATGAGAGTAATGAGACAATTACATGAAGAAGCTTTTAACCATATGATGCAAACTCCACCCATATTTTGGAGCAAATCCTATTTCAAGACAACTTGAAAGTGTGATTCTGTTTTGAATAACATGTTTGAGGCTTTCATTAGTGTGATTGTAGAGTCAAGAGCAAGGCCATTGGTGACCATGATAGAAGAAGTAAGAGGCTACAACATGGAAAAATGGGCAACTAATAGGGTGAGATTCCCATAATTAAGTGATTGGGATGTTTTGCCAAACATTAAAAAGAAATGGAGAAAACAAGCACTTACACAAACTACTGGATAGTAAGGTACATTATCAATTGTGAATTTTGGACATTATAAACTCAAAGTTTAATACTTATACAATTTGTGAATTTTTGTAGGATGTCATCTGAGTTCATCTTTGAAGTCAGACACATTGAGAATCAAGCTGATATGTTTTTTGTCAACTTAGAGGACCATGAATGTTCATGCATAAAGTGGCAACTGATAGCTCTCCCATGTGTTCATACAATTTCTGCATTGAAGAGTATAAGTTTATGTATTGATAATTACATCCCAGAGTTTTATAAGAAATCAAGGTATCAAGTTGTTTATGAACATATTATTTATCCTGTTAATGGAACCAATTTATGGGTCAGAATAGAGTATCCAAATGTGCAACCACCAAAATTCAAAAAAATTCCAAGAAGACCCAAGAAGAGGAGGAGCAGTGAGCAGGTGAAATTGATGTGAGATATTGAAAGATGAGAAAAACTGAAATGGTACTTAGGTGTACCAGGTGCAAACAAACTGGACACAATAAGTCAATGTGTAAGAGGACTCTTTCAACACAGTCATCTTAGCCACCATCTCAAATAACTCAAGCAAGGGCTACACAGTCATCTCAACCACCATCTTAAACAACTCAAGCAAAGGCTACACAGTCACCAACTCAATCAACTCACGCAAGGGCTACACAATCATCTTAGCCACCAACTCAAACCACTCAATCAAATGTTACACACTCATCTGTTACATAATCATCTATACAAGGAGGAAGGCCAAAGAAGTTACCTGTTAGGAAACCAATTCAATCATCTTTTACAAAGGGTCAAATTACCAGGCTAAGTGCATCACAAAATGCAGTTGGACCTACCACTAGGAGGACCACTCCAACAAAAAGAAACAATTTAAAAAATAACATTTAGTCATGCCTGTATTGTAACAATCTTATGTAATTTCTGTTTTGAAAACATGGTTTATGTCATGTATGTTTTGAGACAAGGTTTATCTCATGTTTGTTTTTGTGACAAGGTTTATGTTATATCTATAACAAGTTATGTCATGTCTGTTTTGAACAAGGTTTATGAAAGGTTTGAACAATATTACTTTGAACAATGTTTAATCAAGTGGAAATTTATCATTCAATTATAATTCTGTTTTGCAAATTTATCATTCAATTTATACAAGTTTATGCAAGTTTGAACACTGCATAAAACATTCATGTAAAATAACATTCAAGTTTGAACACCGCAGTTTGAACTGGTGCAACTAAATAATGCCAAAAATCAACATTCATGTAAAATAACATTCAAGTTTGAACTCTGTATAAAACATTCATGTAAAACAAAGAACACAACATAGAACATAAACTTCTAATTTTTTCCCACTTGATGGCGTTCTTCAAAGCAACTTCTAATTCCATATTACCGAGCCTGAATACTTCAACCTCTTTTTTGACTTCCTCCATCTCTTGAGCTAGGACATCTATCTTACTTTGTTGCTTCATCATGATTTGTTCATTTTCATCTCTAACTTCTTCGTAGAACCATTCAAAGAATCAACAACCAACATTACTATATCCCTGTAGAGATTAAGAAAGAAAATTACAATGTAATAAAAAGACATTTCAACAATATTTCAACATATAATACTGACAACCTCAAAAAAACTTTTCATAATTGTTGACAGTTCTTACCCTTCGAAGTACAACAGTGTCTCCACAATGACAAAAAAGTTTCCATGGAAGATTAGAGCTGTTAAATACTTGTGAATCACTTTTATTTTTCAATGATGATTAACCACGAGCAGCACTCATGATTAATGCACTAATGTAGATGAATTAAGTTTCAATTTGGGGATTTCTTACACTATTGACATTAGATTTAGATTAGGGATAAAATAAACTATGTTGTAGCAACGAAGAAGAAGAAGGTGATGAAGAGGACAATCCACCTCAGCTGCCACGTCTTTTTCTGTCTAATGACGTTTATCATTATTTGATCAAAAAGACTTGTTTGATTATGTTTCATAATGTAAGAGACTAAATTAGACGTTTTTGAAAGAAATAAGACCAAAATAGATCCAAATGTATAGGTAATAGACTAAAAAGAATATTAAACATAAATAATATTATGATTGACAAAATAATAACACATGATGAGATATGTACTCACTTACCATCAATATTAATATAAAACTTTTGAATATCATATCATTACATTTTTTAGTTTAATAGTAGTAATTATCTGGGAGTCACAATTAAAATAATTTTTGTGGATGAAGTGGTTCAAATGGTATTCAATGAGATAAATGAATATGAGTTGTAGATTAATTTAATTAATTATTAATACTTCTTATAAAAAATAATTAGTAAAAAGATAATGCTAACTTGTGCGCGCTAGAGGTATAAGTTAAAAAATTTATCTATATCAATTTTATATTGGAAAGAACAATTTAACAATTAATTTTATATTTTTATTAAAGTTAATGTCAAATTTTCAAGACTATTAATATCAAAAAACTAAAAAAAAAAAAAATTAACTTGGAAATTGGATATTAATTTTAATAAAATATAAAATTAATTGTTTAATTGTTTTTTTTAATATAAAATTGTTATAAGTGAGTTTCTTAATGTGTATCTTTAAGATACAAGTTAACATTACCTTTAAAAATAATTATTATTAATTGATTGTATATATATTTTAAATAAACAATTAACTTAGTACTAAAATATTAATTTCTATCAATTTAGCTCTCAAATTATAATCATTAAACTAAATAAATAAAATTCTCAAAATATTATTTCATTTAAATATTTATTCAAATTTTTTTACACCAAATATACATCAAAGGAGACAATAGATATAGAAAATTATAGATAGACTGTGTATGTTCACGTTTAATTTTTCTTTTCTGAAATTTTCATTACGAGTCCTCTGAGTTTGATATATTATAGCAGGGTCCAGAGATTGAAGAAGAGTAAAAGGAGTAACACCATACTCAACATTCAACAAGCTTCGCAATTGGATCTACAACGAATCGAAGATCACAAATGTTACAAACGCGCGATTCGTAGATCCGTCTACTATATTCACTACTATTCACATTTTCTTCATCGCAGTTCTTCTCACTCTCAACAATGGACAAGTCAAGCGCCTTAGAGTATATCAATCAAATGTTCCCTAACGGTACTTTGTTTCGTCAATTTCAGTTCCAGTTTCAATTTCAATCTCAAACTGTTTTTAATTGATGTTTGATTTCTCAAATTTGTGTGAAATTCGTGAAATTATATACAGAAGCATCACTATCTGGCGTTGAACCGCTAATGCAAAAAATTCAGAACGAGATTCGAACTGTTGATGCTGGAATTTTAGCTGCAGTTCGTCAACAGGTCTTGAAATTTTCAATTGATTAAAACTGCATGATTTCGTTTGTGTTTTCTCTACTCTTTGATTATGATTTTGTTTCTTCTTTTGATTTTAGAGTAATTCGGGAACTAAAGCTAAAGAAGATCTTGCCGCTGCTACTCGTGCTGTTGAGGTGAAATAATTAGTTGAACCTTTCTGTTGCATTCTTAGTTGTGTTTTATCTGTGTTTTTAAGCCTTTTGGTTTTGTTATGCAGGAACTTATGTATAAGATTAGAGAAATAAAAACTAAGGCAGTTCAGAGTGAAACAATGGTTCAAGAAATATGTAGGGATATTAAGAAGTTGGATTTTGCAAAGAAGCATATAACGACTACAATTACTGCACTTCATCGTCTTACGATGCTTGGTATGTCTTGATTTTTCATTTTATCTAATAAAAATTAAAAACACCTTTGTTTATTTAGTTCTTAAGCTGGCTAGTTTAATTGATTCAGAGTTTGAACTTTATGCTAGCTCGTTAAATATGTTAGTTAACATGAGCAAATGTAGTTCTTTAGAAAAACAAGTAGATATAATGCAAAGACCACCATGCCAAGTAGAAAAACAAGTAGGAGAACTAAGTGATGGTTTCAATTGTAATTGTATTTGAAACATCAACTCTGAATAAAGTATTAGACTAGTTTTCTGATGCAAATAATTAAAACGGGTCAGTGCATCTTTAAATTACTATTTGGAAATGTAAAACAATACAACTATTATTTTTGTTGGTTTTAGGCAAATTATACAGTGGACACTTTGATAGGTGGTCCACATTAGACCAGTATTTTGAACTTTCTTAAACTTGTAATGACGTTTGGCATTGTCCTCGGAAGTAGAATCTCACGGTTCTTCTGGTCTTCACAACTGAGTCAGTGCCGATTTGACAAAAACAAGGGCAAACGAGTATGAGTGTCTCAAAACTCAACTTATATATGTTTCCCTTATTTTTTTGTCAAACTAGTACCGGTCAAGATACTATCTCAGTCGCGGGAACATGGAGTTTGGGTGATTTCAAATGCCGGTCCAGCATAGAAGCTGTCAGTTTTTAAAATGCATAGACATCCTTAAACCTTTAATTAAACCGGCTTACCTATTATATGGCAGTCTCTGCTGTTGAACAACTTCAAGTGATGGCTTCAAAACGTCAATACAAAGAGGCAGCCGCACAGCTGGAGGTATCTAATATATCTTTATACGTTGCTTTTTATATGTCAATTTACTGTATGATGTGTACCTTGCTATTATATTGGTGTTTTGTGTGTGTATCGTGGAGGTGGTTTTATAAAGCAAATCTATCGTAGTTCTGAAGGTGTGCGATGAAATAATATTTGTGATTATTGTGTTAGTTTGTAATGCATATGTAGTTTAGAATTTGGATTTTGTAAGTAGGGTTTAATAATGTTTTATTTAGGATTACATAGTTTAGTTGGTTAGATCCTATGACCATTAATGACAACCTGGTGCTATGGAGCTCCAAGTGGTGGCCTTAATGTGCACTTGTAAGAGGTTGATTCTACAACTCAAACTTGTGGACTTCTAGACACACAGTAGTGCCACTCCAACTATTGTGCCAAGGCTCCTGTTTGGATCATAGCTTATTGCCATTTGGGTTAGAAATTTATTTTCTATTTTTAGTTATAACTTTTATTCTTAAGTTTTGGGTTGTTTGTTTTGGCACTTCGAAACTTTAAGTTGCATATGCAAAGCATGTAATCTGACTTAAGCTTTTAACTTTTCGGCTTTACCGTTGAATTTGAATAATAGTGTTTTATTCTTGTATATCTTTCCTTGGTTCATATTCCCTTGCTGCATAATTTGGTATCAGGTTATTCTTGTTCTACCCTTGGCCAATCAAGAAGAGGCGGAAATTAGTTCACAAAATTAATTTTTTGAGTGGATCATTGATTGAATCAGATTTTACATGTCATTTTGCATCGAAGAGGAAGTGTAGTTATTGAGATTTATGAGAATTCGTCTTCTTCATTCTAGATCACAATCCTTGGAGTAATTGAGGATTTTTTTATGAAGGCTCAAGCCATTTAATACAATGTATTCTCTGCAAAGGTGTTTCCTTTCAACATCTTTGTCATATTACTAGGAGTACTTAATGCATTTTAACCATTGAAACCAAAAGAGTGGGGAAATCATAAATATTTTATTACAGGAAGGTTTCTAATGTGACTCTTATCTCTTGCAATCTCTGGATTTTGTGATGATGTGTTAGGATCTAGAATAAAGGGAAGTCAAAGTAATTAAGATTAGTTAAGGTATGTGGTTAGTTAGACGAAACTCAATTAGATACTAGAAAAGGCCAAAAGGGTTATTCAGGTATTATGTTTTTATATTGATTTTAACTCATCCTGCAAAATCGGCTTGTAAGAGGAGAGTTTCCACTCTTGTTAGGCCTCATTTCTTTTCAATATGAGATTTGGGTTCTTCCCAACATTAGGAAGTTGTGTTTGGTAAGAGGAAAAAATTTGTGAAGGTAAAACCCTCGGAGGAGAATTCTTTCTCCTTATTTCCATTCAGTTGTGTTCAATCCATGAAAATAATCTAATCTTTTACTTTATTCCTTCAAAGGTTCCTATCAAGATTGTTACGAATCCAAAAAAAATGAAATGAAAGAACAATAGAAAGAATCAAGAGAATAGAATGTCTAAATGAAAATTGAAAAGAAAATGGAGAATAGAATTTTTCACAAGAGTTTCCCCTCCCTAGATTTTTTCCTTTCGCAAACAAAGTATCAAATGTACTGAATTCTCCTATGGCCCTTCTATTCTTATTTCTCCAATCTATACATGATATCCTCTCTATCTACTTAACTTTCCAAACTATATAACCACCTAGCTTCTTTAACTGCCCCTCTTCTGGCTATCCTAACAAGGACGGATACCAAATAGGTTGTTGGATGTTTTAATGTTTACGCTGATAAACATATACTACTGGATTAACTCTTTGGTAAAACGAAACATCATTATACATACTATTTGCCTTTTCTAATAGCAACACAATTCTTGTTGATTCTGTGCTTTTGGACGCATGCCTCCTTTTAGCTTTTGGATAGGTTACTGTGTCCCTTCCCACCTAGTGAGACATGGCTTAATTATTGATTGACTTGTTGCTGAATAAGTTATTACTACCTCCACTCTTTAATATAAGACACCTTTATTGCATTTATAAGTTTACCCTTCTAGAGAGAGAGTTAGTTAATGTTTTCATAGAGTATTTATTACCGATTGCAGTAAAAGATGAAACATTTTTAGGGGTATGTTGGTAAAAAAATTAATGCCACATGGTCTTGGATAGAACATTATGGGTGAATTTGATCCATGTAGCCGACCCCACTTAGTGGGATAAGGTTTGGTTGTTGTATGTTGGTAAAAAAATAATTAATGTAGTTCAAAATTTGAAAGGGGTCTTATAAAAAGGGGCAAAAACTCAAGATAGTCTTATATTTAGGAAAGGTAGTATATACTATGAAGGTCTACTTCAGTTGTACTTGCTCTTTAGTAAATAATAATATTTGATGTATTCATTAGTTTTCTTCTTTCTCACTGAGAAAGTATGGCTCTTGTTTTTAATAAACTAATCTATAAAACTGAACATTTTATTTTTGTTTTTGCATTATCTGTTAATTTTTTTTATTTTTTATTTATAGAGTATTTTGTATTTCAGGCAGTGAACCAGTTATGTAGCCACTTTGAGGCCTATAGGGATATTCCAAAGATCATAGAACTGAGGGAAAAGTTTAAGAATATCAAGCAAATACTCAAGTCACATGTGTTTTCTGATTTTTCTAGGTACATTGTTACTATTTCCAACTTCTGCCGTGTTTGAAAATCTCTTTGGGCACTGCAATGTCGATTATATACACAGTGTCCATTTAGATTGCTTGTGTGCTTTTTTTCATTTTTCGTTCGCTGACATGTAGTTAACCTTCACTAGTTATGTAAATGATTTGGTTGTAAAGAGCTTATGTGTAACTGGTTCTCAATTTTCTGTTTTTGTCTCAGCTTAGGTACTGGAAAGGAGACAGAAGAAACCAATTTGCTACAGCAGTTGTCTGATGCATGCCTGGTTGTTGATGCATTAGAGCCTTCGGTAAAGGAAGAGTTGGTAAATAATTTTTGCAATCGGGAGCTTACTTCGTATGAGCAAATATTTGAAGGAGCTGGTATGTTTAATTAGTCTCTAAAATCTATTTTGTCTTCAGTGTGTTTGGATAAATGTTTGCAAATGTACTTTTAGTTAAAAATGAGTTCCCTCTAATGTGATTTATATTTGGATAAATATTTTCAAACATATACTTTACAAAATGAAATTTGTTTGAACTATATAAACCAAAACTACTTTTAAAAGTATATTTACCACAACAAAATTACGTGTATTAAAAAAATTTAAATATCTAAACTATTTTAAAAAATGGTAATGCTTAGGGCACAAGTTACTAAATGGAGAAATTGTCTTGGAAATTATGTATTGATTTTATTAAAAGTATATAATTAATTTTTTTTTGTTGCTTTTTTCAACACAAGCTTTTCATTTGTGGGTTTCTCAACATGTGCCCTTAGGACACAAGTTAGCATGACCCTCTAAAAAATTTATCGGAATTAGGTAAAATTTATTAAATTATTATTATTATTAGGGTGTGTACTTGTCTATCTGCTTTAATTGATAAACTTAGTTCATGTTATAAAATTTAATATGCTTTCTTTTTTAAAAGTTAGTTATTTAATTGAGAAAATAAAGATAATGCAGTAGATAAAATATTTTAAATAAAAGTAAATATCATAAGAGAAAAACATACTAAAACTAAGCACCAATTATATATATAGATATGAATATTAAATATTCTGTGTAAAAAACGTTAGTGCATATAAATTAATCTCGCTACATATAAAAGTATAAACATTCTGTCAAAAAAAAAAAAGTATAAACATTCTGTTAAAAAAAAAAAGTATAAACATAGAAGCTTTGATTTTCTTATACCAAAATAAAAGAAGCCTTTTTCTTACAAACTTATAAAAGAAGCCATGATCCTGAGAGAATGGGTTCTTAAATGATGACCTAGCATCACACAAAGGTTAATATAGTCTATTCGAACGGAAACAGAAAAACGAAAAGCATCAGAAGTCTTGCTTCTTCTTGAACGGCGTTTCAATTGAATTTCCTTTTACCAATTGATATCAAACACAGTTAAAAATAACTAAAATAAGGCCAAGGGACGTTGAGAGGTCAAACGGAAATCCAAACATGCTCTTAGCTATAGAGTGCTTTTTCAAATGTCTGCAATTTTGTCTTTTTGATTTTGTTTACATCCTATAGAACTAGCAAAGTTGGATAAAACTGAGAGACGATATGCATGGATTAAGCGCCGGATGCGATCAAATGAAGAAATTTGGAAAATCTTCCCATCTTCATGGCACGTTTCTTATCGGCTGTGTATCCTATTTTGCAAGAAAACAAGGTATGGTATTTATTTGTCTGTAGAAACCTTTTTAACATAATTTTTGCAGCAGTGGATTTATCATGCCTTACATGCACTGTGAAAAGGCACGGCCATAGTGAGAAATGATTACTTCTAGTTTGTTGTAAAATGATATTTTAATTTATTGAATGGATTTCCCTCTGTTTCATTTTGAATTTCCAACATCAATTTAATCGACTCTCAAAGCTGAGACACTTTTGCTGTATACTTATATATATGCTTTTACAGAAGTTAACGGGATTAAGCATTTTGCAGCACCTATACCAAACTCAGTTTAGGGTTATTCCATACAAAAAATATTGTTATGCTTATGCGACCTGTCTCTGCAGGAAACAACTTGAGGACATTCTTTCTAATTTAAAGGAAAAGCCAGATGTTGGGACTTTGTTGTTGGTAAGCTATCAAATGATGATTATACTTGCATTGCCGTTCTGATAACTGCTTCGCTTGGGAAACTGATTTGGGTTGAACTGAAAACACTTCGACTTTTATGTGTTATTTCAAGTGTTTCATATGTTAATTTGTTGCAGGCTTTACAACGAACTTTAGAGTTTGAGGATGAATTGGCTGAGAAATTTGGGGGAGGCACTCAAAACAGAGAGATTGGAAATGAGATTGAAGAAATAGGAAGAGGTGCTAATTCTAGTAATAATGCTTCAGATATCCGGAAGAAGTATGAAAAAAGGCTTGCTGCACATCAAGGAAGTGAGAGTGAAGTATGTACACGGATAACTGCTAATATTTATTCATATGGACTTTTAAATATAGCAATTTACAGATGACCAGTGTTTTGATTTTGTATCAATAGGAAAAAAATGGAACCAAAGATTTGGCAGTTCCTGGAGCTGGGGTATGGTTTTATATGACTATTTTCTAATACACAATTGATTTTATATGGCAAATGCATGCATTTAAGTTTGTGGTCTCTGAGGTGTTGTCACAATGGTATAAATGCTTTTGGAAATAACCTTTCGGGTTTGTGTTCATGTGGTTTTTCTTGCATTTCTTGTTCACTGTTATCTCATATAGCTCTTTATTCAATAATCTTAAGTCTGTCATGCTGAGTTTTATTTGTACAGAAAAACTCATAATATTCTACATTAGGATATTACTCCATGTTTAAAATTTTCAAATCTTGTGTTGCGGTTATTTTCTCCTACTTATTTTCTCAATTAAAACCCTTAAAATTTCTGGACTAATATTTTCTTGATTTCATAATTCCGTTCCTTTGATCCTGAGTTTGGGCTTAGCTGTCAACTCTGCATCAAATAGTTGTCTCTAAGTTAATTTACTAAATATTTCATATTTACCAAAATGGGAAAGTGGGAACTGAGAAATATGCTAGTATTAAATTCTTGATAAAAATAAGTCACATGAGATTGATGTAGAAAAAAATACCGGTCTCTTGGTATTTTCTCTACTGTTGGATGCAAGTGTGATTATTGCTTTCTTATAGGTGTTTTAATTTTATTGCTATTGATCTGTTTCATTAAGATTTACCTGATAAACATTTGGTTGTTTGAACAGTTCAACTTTCGTGGAATTGTTTCATCTTGCTTTGAACCTCATTTAACAGTATATGTAGAATTGGAAGAGAAAACACTAATGGACAGTCTGGAGAAACTTGTCCAGGTAATCCATGTCTTACCTTTTAGATACATACTCTGTGATTTACTTTTGGCTTTCTCCTTAAGTAAAAGTTTCATCCGCCGCAGGAGGAGACATGGGATATTGAGGAGGGAGGTCAGAGTAGTGTTTTATCCAGTAGCATGCAGGTGAGTCAGTAGATCTTATTATAGATCATATGTTACAGTGTTATATTGTTTAATGTCTTATAAAACCTTGATTCCGTATTGGGATAAACTGATTTGTTGCAAAAGGGTAATATGGTTAAATAGCTTAAATCTCTTCCCCTCTTTTATTTATAATCAGTTTTGGTATGTTTATGTTAACTTGGCTGTCTTTTGTCATGCTACTTAGTTGTTTCTAATAATCAAGAGAAGCTTGAAAAGATGCAGTGCTTTGACGAAGAGCCAGACACTATTTAATTTGTTTAAGGTAAACTCTTGAATTATAGGGTTTAATATTTATATTAATGAAATAGATAAACTTTTCTCATTTTATTTTACCTGTTTTCATTTTCTTGGTGGTTATTTTTAATGGTGCCCAACTTTGTCGATGATTGCTCTTAATATCTCTTGGAGTTCTGCACTCATATTTCTGGCTCTTGCTGCTATCATTTTATCGCTTTTTTAAAAGGGAAAAATAAGATACTAGAGAAAAATTAATACTTTTCAAAATCCAGTTGAAGGGTTCCATAATATGTGACTCGGCTAAGTTAACTTATCATTATTCCTTGAACTTCGTCAAAATTAGGAGGCCTTTAATTCGCTTCATGAGACTTTTAGAAGTATGATATTCTGTATGAACTATGAAGAATTTTTTTCGCCTAAATAATAGTTATAAATTAGCTTCTGAATCATTGACTGAATTGGTTTTTTAGATTTGTTAATTGTCTCAAGCACAACAGCAGGTATTTTTGTTGTCAGCCTCATAATATCATTAGTCAACACATTGTTGCTAACGATTATTTCATTTCATCAAACCAAGAAAAGAGAATTCTCAGGTCTGTGCAGGATAGTTCATGGCCATGTTGTTAAATAACTGCTATACTGCTACAGCGTAGTGGAATTTGGACAAACCTCTAGTGTTGTATGATACGCAATTTAGTACAAAATTGGTTAAATGGCTGCTACAGTAGCATTATTGGATAGCAAATTTTAACAATCCACTATTTTCCGCTATCCGCAATTGACAATACTGATTAGTGGCTGTTTTCAAACTGAGCTGCATATTCTTCATGCAATAATATCTTATAATTTAGCAACGATGTCAAATATTTGTTCTTTTTTTTTAAGAGTTGGTTGATCTAGCTTAATGTATTAAGTGTAGTTATACGTGGCAGAAGATTACAAGAAGGCCATGTGATCTGCAAAACTAAGATTCTCTTATAGTAGGCTGTTAAGGGGTTAAAAAGAGTATTGTTCAATTTCTTGGGCACAAAGGGAAATGATTTCTGATTGCAATTCACAATGCATATACTTGAACATTAAGAACTCCAGTTTCATGCAGTTTATGACTCTATTCCATTTCAACCTTAGGTTTTCCAAAGAATTCTTAAAGCATATGCTACAAGACTCTTTGCAAGACTTCCAAAGGGGGGCACGGGAATTGTTGCTGCGGCCACAGGCATGGATGGGCAGATAAAGGTATCTTGAAAGGAATTGTTTTTTCATTATATGTGATAAGTTACATATTCATGTTATGAAACAACTTTCTTTTATCAGCCAAAATTAATCTTTGGATATGTTGAACAGACATCTGATAGGGATGAAAGAGTGATTTGTTACATTGTCAATTCGGCCGAATATTGCCATAAAACGGTTAGTTGCTTTAACATTTTTCATCCAGTAGAAAACAAGGAAATACCAGGTTTACTAAATACTAACTTAGCGCTGTACTTTACAGGCTGGTGAACTGGCTGAAAGTGTTTCTAAAATAATTGATCATCAATTTGCAGATGGGGTGGACATGTCAGAAGTGCAGGTAATTATGTCTTGTTAAATAATTCATTTTCTTATGGATTTCATTCTAACAACGCTATGCAATTATACAGGATGAATTTTCAGCTGTTATAACAAAATCCTTGGTAACCTTAGTGAATGGCCTGGAAACCAAATTTGACATTGAAATGGCAGCAATGACACGTGTTCCTTGGGGTACCCTTGAAAGTGTTGGTGATCAATCAGAGTAAGTTGAATTCCTTTATAAATTTAACAAACAGTTCTTATTCCTGGCAAAGTTCCTTAGTTTAACTGTAATGTTTTCTTTGTAGGTATGTTAATGCCATAAATTTGATTCTGACCACTAGCATTCCGACACTCGGAAGTCTTCTTTCTCCTGTCTACTTTCAGTTCTTTTTGGACAAGGTGATTACCAATACTTGAATAATTTGGAACTAAAATGCCTGTATTACACAACTAACAAATTTATAGACAGGATAGAATCTCTCAAAATATTGAAAATAGGAAACTATCAAAGGTAATAAAGATAAATAATAATCTTAGTTATTGTTATGATCAACACTCTCCCTCAAATTGAAATATATCTATCATTTGCATCTAGCTTGTTACATATATAATCAATTCAAGGTCCCCGTAGAGATTTAGTGAAGATATTGGTTAACTAATTATTAGAGCTCACATAAGAAGTTTTAGTGATGTCTGAAAGTATCTTCTCTCAGATAAAGTGACAATTGAAGAAAGATACAATGCTTTGGTTATCACAAACTAGCTCCATAATACCTATTTCACAAAACTTCATTTCTTGGAGCATTTCAAGTACAAAAGCACCCTATGGCCACCGATCGAGCTTTCAAACGATGCATGTATGACGTTTCCAGGGTAAGTGGAATTAGGGTCCACATATGATTGGACTCCAAAGTCCAAAGCAGTCATCTTATCTACCATTGCCTGTTGCCTTCCTCGACGAGATTATGCTTCTTAGATAATCTTAGAAATTACGAAAGATGATGAGCAAGACGACAATGAATAGAAAGAACATTCTACCTATTGGTCTTTATTGATTTAGAAAAAAGGAGTTGTTGAGTAAATTTGGAGGTAGATTCTGGTTATCCAAGTAATAAAGGTCACTCCATTCTCTAGCATTTCCAATCGTCCTCTTGGAGTTCTTGTCCGAAAAAACATAGACATTGTTAAAAAAACATTACATGATAGGTCTTTTGTGGGTTCTTGTGTGGAAGTTAGTCTAGTGGACAACTACATGTTGGTTTTCTCGTTGCTAGGCCTAGGACAAGGTGAATAAGTGGATAAGTGTGTAGGTAAGGGTGTCATCTGGTTAGTGGCTCCAGAATCAAGTATCAAATATTGCTTATAGAGTGTATCTTTTCATTAAGTTCAAAAGAATATTGAAACTTACCCAGAGGATGTGGAAATGGAGACACACCTGACTATGCTAGAGAACAACTATCTGTTGGTTTCTCCAACTTATTGAGGAAGGATCTCACCCTCTCTATTACATCTTGGTTGAGTTGGCCCAACCCTCTGCTTTCTTCACTAGTACCTGCTGTGCAGCTATATGTGCTTGTCCTCCCTTTCTTGGTAAATCTCCCCTTCCCCCCACTCTCTACTAGGTGGGTTTTCATGTAACTTCCAGCACTTTTTAAGAGTGTGGCGAGGCTTGTTGCAATTGGCACACCACACTCCTTCATCTTTTTTCTCCACATTGGTTCTCCCCCCCTTTCCTCTGGTCAGCCATCGTGGTCAAATCAAATCCTTCTCAGCTAGCGTTGCTTAACTTTCCATTGACGGGCTTCAAGCATTAGCCCCCTTGTATGTTCTTCACTTCTCACTGTAGCCACTGCTTCATCAATTCCTGCTACATTCTCCGTACCGAGAATTTAAACTCTAACCTAATCAAAGTCAGAGTTGAACTCACCTAGAAATCATAGGCTTTATCCTGCTCAATACTCCTTGAGTAATGTTGAATCTCCCGAGCACCCAGTTTTATGACCCTGTAATGTAAGGATCCAGCTCCATTCTCAAAGCTTTGTGGTGATTTGGTACTCTGTAACAGTCTTGTTTTCCTGTTTTGTAGCCACACCTTTACATCATATATTTGAGCAGCATCTCTGGCTTTAGAATAAGTCTCTTCCACTGCCTTCCAGATCTATTTTGTAGTATTGAGAAACATGCATGTATCACTTATTTCTGGGTCATTGAATTCCATAACCATGCAATGATCATAGAATCTTCTTCATTCCATTTTTAAAACTTGGGAATTGGGATCTTCCTCTTTAGGAGCATCATCAGTCAAGCGGTTTACTTTCCCCTCACCCTTCAAAATGGTATGAACAAGTTGAGACCATTTCAAGTAGCTCTTTCCATTCAATTTGTATGTAGAGTGGATATTATGTAATTCTCCATGAGTTTGGGATTTCTTATCCCCAACTTAATTGTCATATTAACCACTCTTCAGCCACGGAGGAAAAAATTGAAAAGCAAGCAAAAAGCACTCGAGTTTCAAATAACCCACACACCAAGGTGCTCAGATATGAAAACAAACACCCGCAATGGAAATAGGAGGCTCCGATCTACATGTGACTGAAAAACGAAGAGAAACAGAATTGTGCAGGGTGGTGTGTCGTGTGGCCTTCACGTGCCTATTAACTCGCCGGAGCGGAGATTGGCTGCACGAGGCGTTCTTGATTGCCACACCCATAGCTGTTTTTTTCCCTCTCTTCCACCAAGAAAGAAGACAGTAAAAGAGAGTGCAATGAATGCAGTAAAAAAATTCGCAATGAAAATATTTCTGATATATTTCGAAGTTATGAATAATGTACAAGCACTAATTTGTTAAACTGTCATAGACTATTCTAAACCTAATGGGCCTGATTTACTAATAAGTGATACAATCATAACTAATAATTACAAAAATATGCATTATTTAGAACAATTTCTATTAATGTATTGCCAATTTTCAAGCTTCTGTTCTGACAGAATCTAGTCAATTTTCACTTAAGCTAGATTTTCCCATCATTTCTGTACATCTCCTAGTAGTTCAACAATTTAATCACCCCTAATAATTTGTATTGTATGTAGTCAGCTGTCTTTAAATATTTCTCTTTTCCTGCAGCTTGCATCTTCTCTGGGCCCACGCTTTTACTCAAACATTTTCAAATGCAAGCAAATATCAGAAACTGGAGCTCAACAGGTACTGACTGCTTTTCTTTTTAATTCCTTTTAGTTACATTAAGAAGAATAAAGTTAAGAGTTAAGACATAGCTTAGACGGTTTTACACCGACAAGATGGTTTTTTTTATGCGAGAGGTTTTATTAGAGAGGATAGAGGGGAAAATTAAGATATCCTCCAAAAAACAAAATTAAAAAGGTGAAAAGAACTTTAAAAAAGAATCAAGTGAGGCTGACTGATTTTTTTGAGACCCTAATCAGTTCCTATCAAGAGCCTTTGAAAATATTGGACTTAAAAGATGGTTATAACTTATGCAATATATATAATTAGGCTTCTCACTTGAATGTCTGTGAAAGGATTGACAGTTGTACTTTCTCCTACTTTTGGAACTGAGAAACCTTGGAGTTTGTGGAAGGCTTGACAATTGAAAAAGTGCAAAGCACAACAAACCAACAAACATGTCTTGGCGAGATACTTCTCTGATAAATCGTAGAATGCTCATCTATGGCAGAATGCTCTTTGGACTCTTGTTTTAAAACTCTGAAAAAGGGAAATATTAATTATCAATTATGCACAACCTATGTAGCATCGACACCTCTGAAAAAAGGCATGTCTGTGTTCATGTCGGTATCAGACATCTGCACCGACACTTTGATTACGTTTAATTTATTCATTTTTTCAAATTATTACCGGTGTCACCGTGTCAGTGTTGGAGTTGTATTCGGAGTGTCCGTGCTTCATAGTGCACAACTCTTATTGAAACATTTTTCCATTTTATTTTGTTCTTATAATAATCTTCGTTATATGAGGAACTCCTTGGATCTCTATTTATGATGTACTACGATGTTAATAGAACAGTAAAATGATTTCTGCAGATGCTATTGGATACACAAGCTGTTAAGACAATCCTTCTTGAAATTCCATCCCTTGGTAGACAGGTAAGCTAGCATATGCAAATTATAATTTGCAATCGTAGTTACTCCTTGCTGCTAGAATTATCACCATCACATCTAACTTGTGTTGTTCTGTTCTCTCCCTTGGAGTTTGTATCTACAGTGATTCTGATCTGGTCTCTACATTTCAAGAATTTTGGGGAATCTTGTTGACCAAATGCTTCTATTACTGGAAGCATTTCAATATCTTCCAACTGTAGTTTTCATATGGACTATATTTATTCTTAATAAAGTTGTATAGAAAAAAATACACACTTATCTGGACTAGAAATTGATATTTTATGAGTAATTCAAGCTAAATAAAAAAATTAACAAGTTTCAGCTTTTGACGGTTATCCCTTCTAAGTTATATTAAATTCTAGGGTTAAATATACAACACAACCCTGCGATATAGGCGAGTTTCGGTTTACCCCCTTATAATTTTTTTTTTTTGGATTCCCCCTGTAATATATATATATATATATATATATATATATATATATATATATATATATATATATATATATATATATATATATATATATATTTGTTTTGCCCCCCTAAGCGTGCAATTTGAACACTGAAATACTTTACATTCCAAGCAGCATTGATGCCCAGATATCAGTAAACAAATGATTGCTATGCCAATTTGCATTCTGTTCATGAAACAAAAGATAGAGCAGTGAGAAAAAAAGTAGGTGCCTTATACTCTAAGTAACCTGAAAACTGAGAAAGCAACGATTATAAACTATTTGATCAAGCAACTATTCTATCTTGTATATATATATATTATATTTTGTCAACTGAAGAACCCCCCTTCCAGCTATCTGGAATTCATAGGAACTCACTAGTCATGTTAAATAAATATTGAAGATAACATACTTCTGTTTGCATATCTAATAGTAGTTTTTCTTGTGCTTGCCACTGGTTTATCCCATTAAACTGTCTGCTTGTTCTATGCGACAGACATCAAGTGCTGCAAGTTATTCCAAGTTTGTAAGCCGTGAGATGAGCAAAGCCGAGGCCCTTTTGAAGGTTTGGCTTGCATTTAGTAATGAAGTTTTTTTATTTGATTATATTTTTTTAAAACAATTTAGTAGGTTTGTATTAGATTACTGTTGTGGTCTAAACATCCTACAGTTAATATCGTACCATACGAGTTTTAGGGAAAAAGTTATCCCAAAAAGTTAAGCTCAACCAAACATGTATGTAGTTATTTCTGATGCAAGTTTGTGTGAATGTCTATGGTTAGGTTATACTTTCTCCAGTTGATTCTGTAGCAGATACTTACCGTGCACTGCTACCTGAGGGTACACCCATGGAGTTTCAGCGGATATTGGAGCTTAAGGTTTAAATTATCTATTTCTTAACGGTTCTTCTATCAAATTCTCTAGTGTGTTGATTACTTGTTGCATTATTTTTTTGTTGGACCTCTGGTCACTGAAGTAAAATCTGTCAGAGCTCTTTTATTGAATATAGAATAATTTTTTTATGAATAGGTCAATGAATAAATAAAATTATTACGCATTTATCACCAATTTGGCTTATTAATGTTATACAGGAAACTTGAGGAGCATAGCTAGAAAGTTCTTTCAATATCCACTTTAGGAAAATTATTAAATTCTTCACAAATTAGATAATATGTGATTACTGTTGTTTCCACGGGTCACTAGTTCAGTAGCACATTAGTACATCTATAATTAATTAAAATGTTTAAAGAAGTATAAAAGCTAAATGGTTCAATATTCATCAATGTTTTATAGTATTTTGTTTATGGCTGCTATCGTAGTGATAATTGTTTGATTTTTCAGATTCAAATGCAATTGAGTGCATGATCGGTAAGCTATGCACGTATGTTTCATATTGGGCTAACATATTCCTTGTTTTTCCAGGGTCTTAAAAAAGCTGATCAACAAAGCATACTGGACGACTTCAACAAAGAAGGGCCTGGAATTAAGCAAACTCAGATTACACCAACAATTGCGCCAGCTCCTCCAGTAGCCCCTGTTATACCTAGTCCTACTGCTGCACTTGGACTCGTAGGTTCACGGGAGGACGTTCTAACTAGGGCTGCTGCACTTGGACGAGGAGCTGCCACCACAGGGTTCAAGCGGTTCCTAGCACTAACTGAAGCTGCCAAAGACAGGAAGGATGGCCCTTTCCGAAAGCTCTTTAATCCATAATGAAGAGAGTGATACAACCTAGTTCGCTTGTAATTTTTTTCTTTTCACTTTTGTTCATTTTGTTGTATGTTTCTTTTTTTCCTTTCTTCTCCTTGATTCTTTATGTAAGTTTAGTATCATGTTAATTCACTCAATTAAATGGAAGCTGATTTTGCAAATAAAAATATTTACATGTTTGCGCAATTCTCTCTTTTGTGAACCTTAAATTCGTCATTCAAGTAATCACTCTCTCTTAGATTTTGTCAAATCTATCATCTTATTTCCTGTTATTATATACATGAGATGTTAGAGACAAACCAAGCGAATTTGGCAAAACATGAGACTATATATTAGGGATTGCTATGGAGAAGCACTATATAGAAGTCCAAAAATGTTTCTCCGAAAACATATTTTCAAATGCACCTATATACATTAAATTTATGCATAAGTGAGGCATACTCATTTTGTATAAGTGAGGCATACTCATTTTGTAAAAGAATAGTCCAAAAATATACTTTCGTAAGGTGGTGGTCTCTATTTAAGCATGAAATCACTGGTAAAATGAAAAGAATATCCATGTTTTCTGACTGATCAAATTAACTTGGTGGAAAAGAAAGTGCAAAAAATATATATTTACTGTACATATATTATATTTCACCACCATTAAACTTTTCTGCACATGGTTTTGATCAAATTTCACTCTACAAATTGGTAAGTGTGCATTTCAGATTCTGTGTAAAAACAAACATCTATCCAAGATGCCGCGTGATAATATATTGTTCAATTATCATCTTGTACTTTTATGTTAATCTCCTTGCTGATAATTGTTCTATTTTGAACAACACTTAAGTTACCAATTCCGGAAGTATATGCAAAATAAATAAACAAGACTACCATCCAACGGAAGTTTACTTTCGAATAAATTTTATTTTTTGACAAAATAAAAATGTGATTCATTTTTAGATGAATTTAGTGTATTTGAGATACGTCCAAAAATACGTTTATAAAAATTTCAAAAGTATTTTTAATTTTTCGTGAAAGAACACCCTTATATTATTGGATCTTGGGTCTTGCGTGCTTTAGAGTGGGAGAAACAATCCCAAGGAAGAAACAATCCCCTATATTATTGGATCTTGGGTCTTGCGTGCTTTAAAGAACACAAGTTGGAATTCAGAAATTTATCATTGAATAGCACAATAGTTTGACTTATAAAAAGTTGAATGTAAGATTTTTAAAATCAATATTTTATATTTACTTCCTTAGCTTGTTTGTTTATGTCTGGATTATTTTCATTTATCTTTAAAAATTAAATAGGAGAGAGTAATACTCTATAAGAGATTAAATTGAATGTTTTTTTTTCTCTCTCAACCATTCAATCATTCTCCGATCAAAATACAAGAAAATTCTATTAAATTATTAATGAAAATAGAGTTTTGCGAGTTCTTTCCGAGACTCTAAGTAAGTATGAATAATCGACTTAACATTCTTTGTCGCCCTCCTTACTACATTGAAAGAACATAGGGAGTAGAACTGTTCGTCTGAGTACATAAGATATTGTTTACTAGAAGAGGTTATTGGAGAAGTCTCCCTCTTTTCAATATCTCTTTGCTCTCTTCATAACTGTAGTGAGAGTAGGTGCTCAAGTAGTTGTCACTGTAAGACTAGCCGTTCTAGAGTAAATAACAACTCTTACCGCGCTTGATGATGAGTAAGTCATGAAATCATCCTCTTCTTTCATATGGCCTACTTGGACTAGCTCTTGAGTTAACCTCTAATCCATATGTCAGCCAATAGGATAAATGAATATGAACTTCTCAAAGAGAACAGTTCAACGAATTTAATTGAATTTTGTTATCTGATCATATTAGATATTGTCTAACGCTGTATAAGAGAGACCTAACTAACAGGATTGCTAGTAGTGATCATACCCGATAATGTGAACTCAATTAATTCAGCTCTAGCCTGATGCTTATGCCTAACATTGAAAAGTGTTGCACACCCCTATAAATCTTTAATTTTTAAAATAAAAAGAAAATAGGCAAATCGACCGTTTAACTTAGCGTACTGAAATCTCTTGCGAATTTTGATCGATACAACATTAATAATGAGAATTCATAGAAGCAACAAAAAAAAAGGATTATCAAAATATGTGACTTAGCAGTTTGATGACCTAAAAGAGAGTTGTGTACCATACCTTGTCTAGAGGCGACTGGCATACTCTATTTTCATGCTTAATGTTTTCGCCTTCAAAATCAATGCTTGAGTCGATTCACTTTCATTGGTGGCATCTCTCTTCCCTCATCCCACACGCTTCACTTCGGTCAGAGTTTAAGATTTCGATTGTCTGATAGAGTAGATTTCATCTCTTGATCTGGTCTTCTATAACAATCTAATCTTTAACTTTATGAAAACTATTTTATTAGGGATTTTAGGTTGGGAAATAATAATCTTTTTTTTGGATGGGTTGAGTCACCCACAAAGAAAAGATAATTTATAAAGGAGGGAGAGAAAAACAAAGTAAATCAATAATTGATATTACTGCAAAATGAAAATAAGAAGAAAAAAAGCATGAGAGAAACCATATTTTCTGTATGCAATTTAATTTGATATTTGATGTCCAATATAATTTTAAACCTAAAACAAACAAATAAGATAACAAAGACTTATAAATAATAATGTTGTATCTGATGAGATATAATATAATCTAAATTGTATTGTCAAAGCTCATAGTTAATTAGAGTTTAAGGTTTGTTACTTATTTTATTATATTTGTTACTTAATAGTCAAGTTACTTAGGTGTATATAAATAGATACTTTGTAATTTAGTTTTGTAACACATTCATATTTCAATAATATCAATCCTTATTTCCTTATTCTCTCTCTCTCTCTCTCTCTCTCTCTCTCTCTCTCTCTCTCTCTCTCTCTCTCTCTCTCTCTCTCTCTCTCTCTCTCTCTCTCTCTCTCCACTAAAAGTTTCTCATGCACTAACAAATTGGTATTTAGAACTCTGGTTAGATTCTTGATCGTGTTTTCAAGAATCACACGTCAGTGATCGTATTTTTGGGATCATGGGCTGTTAATTGCGTTTGTTGCAAAGATGAATGACACCAACGATATTCTGAATTCTCTTCCAATTCTTGACGGCAAGAATTGGATCGAATGGAGAAAATAGATGCAATATATGCTTGGCTTTCATAAGACCCTTGAACTGGTTACTAATGGTGTTCCTGAGCTTGCTAAGAACTCAACTAATGCTCAGAGAGTCACAAAAAAGGAGGTCAAAAGAAAGATCGCATGACCGTGTATTGCATTCAATTGGCGGTAGATTCGGTGAATTTCAACAAGATCTCTCATGCTGAATCGGCGAATGAGTCATGAGATATTCTTGTCATGTACTATGAAGGAGGTAAGAAAGTCAAAGTCGTCAAATTGCATACTTTGCAATGACAATGAGTTACTGCAGATGGAAGAAGATGAAAAGATTGTAGAATATGCGTCGAAGGTGTATAATCTCGTCCATCTCATGAAGTGTTGTGGTGAAACCCTTACTGATAAGATGATAATTGAGAAGGTAATGTATACATTGACCTCTCAATTTTTTCACGTTATCATAGATATTCAAGAATCTAACAATCTTGAAACCCTAAAATTGGAAGATTTAGTTGGTTCGTTGGAGGTGCAAGAGATTATGATTGTTGACAAAAAGGGTTTCAAGATTCGACACAAGCATTGCATGCTCAGGCTTGGAAGAAGCATGATGGTTTCAACAAATACAAAGGCAAAAGAGACAAAACTCAAAGCAAGAAGTCTTGGTCGAACCCACAAAATCATAAGGTCGATGATAGGATTTCCGAATCCTCGAAAATAGGAGAAGGAAACTCATATCAGAAAGACAATGAAAAAAATGGTGTGTAGTGCTATAATTGTGAAAAATGGGGTCACTTGGTCAAGCATTATTGGTACAATAAAGACAATGGATTGAAAAAAGAAAAGGTGGAAGGAGCAAACCTTGCACGCTAAGATTTAGATGACTGTAAAGATATGGTGGTTATAACTGCAGTTGCAAATGACCATGTCGAATACAAGATCTGGTTCCTCAACTCGGGCTGCTCGAATCACATGATTGGTCGAAAACTATGGTTAGCATATTTTGACTCGTCGAAGAAGAGCAAGGTCAAACTTGCTGATAATATCTCGTTGCAAGCAGAAGGTAACGGTGAGACAGTTATTCAAGGGAGCAATGGAAGAAAATCTATGATCAAAGATGTACTCTATGTACTTGGAATGAAGTGCAATATTCTAAGTGTTGGACAACTGGTCGAAAAAGGTTTCTCAATGATTATGAAAGATAGAGCCTTAAAATTATTCGACACTCATAATGATTTGGTCTTGAAATTTCCTTTGTCGAATAATAGGACATTCAAGACCATGATCAGCTCGACTGAAGTACATTGTCTAAAAGCTATTGTTGACCATAAGAATAGTTGTTTGTGGCACTTGAGGTTTGGACATTTGAACTTCCGATCACTCAATCAACTGATTACTCAAGATATGGTAATTGGTATACCAAGTCTGGAGATAATCGAAAAACTCTATGAAGGTTGTCTAGTCAGAAAGTAATCCAAAAAGTCTTTCGTTTCGATTATGCCAATGAGATCCTTCCGCATATTGAAGTTGTACATTCAAATGTAGTTGACCCTTTTGAGGAGCATACCATTGATGGAAATAGGTATTTTTTTTTGTTTGTCAATGAGTTTAGTCAAAAGTTGTGGATCTATGTGATCAAGAGAAAAAACGAAGTATTTAAAATCTTTAAGAGATTCAAGATGCTTGTTGAAAACCATAGTGAGAAGAAGATCAAAGTTCTGCGAACAGATAGAGGTGGTGAATGCACTTCCAAGATGTTTGAAGAGTTTTATGCAGAACATGTTGTCGTTCATGAGGTAACTGTTCCTTGCACTCTCAACATAATGGAATAGCAGAAAGAAGAAACATGACCATATTGGACATGGCGAGATGCA